TTGTGGCTTATTCGCCACCAAATCCTTCAAGTACTTGAAGTATTTGGGCATTTGTTTAAGTGCATCAACAAGTGGTACATTAATATGTATACTTTCTAAGTTCTGAATAAACCTGTTGAGCCCTTCATCCATTTTTGCTTTCTTCTGTCTTACTGGATATGGTGGCGTTGGAGCTGGCTGTTGTGGTTCCTTAATTGGTGCTGGGAATTGAATTCCCTCCATTCCAGGTTTTTCAGCGGGTTGCTCCTGTTCAACCACATCATCATTATCAGATAATTGCTCAGAAGAAGTTTCATTCTTACCTGCAGGATCACTCGCAGGAGTGACTTCTTCACTTGGCTGATTGAGTTGCTTTCCACTTCGGAGAGTCACAGCCTTCGCTTGCTCTTGGTCATTCCCCTTGGGGTTCACGATGGTGTCACTGGGCAGGCTCCCCGATGGTCTTTCAGCATTTTGTTTTGCAATCTGGGCCAACTGATTTTCCAAACTTTTACAAGACACTGCCAAACTCTTGATTGCATTTTGTACAGAAATCCATTCATCTTCCCTTGGTATGTACTGTTGGTTTGAACGTTGCTGATTCTAATAGTTGGGAAGCTGACCATCTTGTCTATGGAATCCTGGGGGTTGAGTAGGCCTTTGATAGTTTCCTTGTTGTGGAGCATTGTTCCAGTTGGTCTGTTGCTGATTTCTCCAATTGTTGAAGTTGTTGAATCCCCCCTGCATTGCCCTGTCTGACAAACTGGACAGCTTCCATTTTGGAAGGGCAGTCGTCCAAACTGTGGGATCCATCACATAATACACATACTTCTGCCTTGGATTTGGACAGCTCACTTCTGAGCTTAGTCATTTCGTTCATCATAACAGCCATTTGAGCTTGCAGATGTGTAGTGGGATCAAGTTCCATCATCCCTGGCTGTTTTGAAATTGCCCTTGGATCAGATTGCCATCTTGAATGGTTGGTGGTCATATTGTCGAGCAATTGCCTTGCTGCATCAACTGGCTTCATCATAAATACACCACCAGCTGCAGCATCAAGGGAGTCTCTTGTAGTTGGTAGCAGACCATTGTAGAAGATGCTAAGTTGAAGATGCTCTTCCAACCCATGCTGAGGGCATTTTCTAACCATTTCTTTCAATCTTTCCCATGCTTCATAAAGCGTTTCTGTTCCATACTGCTTGAAGTTCATTATTGCTGTTCTGAGTTGTGCAGCTTTTGCAGGTGGAAAGAATTTTGTTAGGAAACACTGCCTTAACTCTTCCCAAGTGGAAATGGAGTTGTTGGGCAACGTGTTAAACCATGCTTGGGCTTGATCCTGCAATGTAAAAGGGAATAGTCTCAGTCTAATGTCATCATTAGATAAGCCTTGAATTTTAAAAGTACTGCATAAACGCAGAAAACTTCGGATGTGATCATAAGGATCTTCATGAGGTAATCCATGGAATGGGCAGGCTGATTGAATCCATTGGATCATCTGTGGCTTGAGCTCAAAATTGGTTGCTTCCACATCAGGGAACACTAGAGGAGATTGGACTTCTTCTTGCTATGGGATGAAGAAATCTCTAAGCAGTCTTTCTGGTCGGTTTTGTTGATCCCCACCAGGGTTCCTATTGTTCTCCGGATTGCCACCTTGGTTAGCCATTTCAGATGAACCTTCTTGGTTGTCCTGTTGCGCCCGGTTCTGCCTTCTTCTTGCCGCTCTGGTTCTACGGATGGTAGCTTCAATTTCTGGGTCAAAAACGGGTTCACTTCGTTGGTGCCTTCTAGTCATACACCAAAGAAAAGAAACTGGAAGCTTAGTGAGGTAACCAGAGAAGAATTTTATATATATATACACAAACAAAAACAACAAATTTTTGGAGGTTTTACGCCGTCCCCGGCAACGACGCCACTTTCTGGTGATTGCGGAGTTCACCAAAAAAAGATAAATATTACTAGCTTGGATTATGAGTTTTGTAGATAATGGAAGCTAGGTCGATCCCACGAGGACAGCTAATTACCAAATTTGTTGTAAAGAAAAACTGTCAGTCAACAAGGTGTCACTCAGGAGAATGAAAACAGTCACTCAGGGGAATGGGGGCCAGGGGTGTTCTTCTCCTCTTCCTGTTGTTGTAGTTGTTTTATTAGCACAGTAATGGTTGAGTTCTTGTTCATTCAGCTCACTTATAACTCTAAGTCAGTTCCCATTTTTCCAAGAGTCATCTTTGCAACCTTAACAACCTATTTTCCAATGATTGATTCCAACTACAAAGTCATTAAGTTCTTAGGCCTTCAAGAATGCTTATGTTAACTAAGTATATTCCTATCTTAGTTAAAACCATAGACTGTTACCTCTATGTCATAAGTTAAGGTTGAAACAATCCAAACCAAGTTTATCCTTCCAGATCTCCCTTAGTTCTAGCATGCATTCAATTTAGTGATCAAGTAAATGAATGTAGAAAAACTTTCAACCATAAAACAAGGAACAAAACCAATGCGCTTGAGGAGAATAACCCCTGGGAACTGTTTAGCTACTCATACAGATTAATACTACATCTACTACATCGAAAGACATCATAGAAGTATGCATAGTAAACAGAATTCAAGCTAACAATCAAGGATGAGGAGAAAGCTTGTGCAGTTTCTGAGTCACTCCCAGGAGTGAAAGGGTTCACTCATGGAACTGAAGAAGAAACTGGGTTGCTATTCTTCAACTTGGCTTCCTCTCTAAGTTGTTGCTGCTTCTTCTTCTTTCTTGTCTTCTACCTGGAGTTTTTCTGAGTGTTTTTGCAACTAAAGAGCTAACCAGAGACTGAGAGAGATTGATCCCCCCCTTTTGTGAGAGTGCAGGTCCCTCCTTTTATAGTACCTTGCAACCGGTGTCTTCATCATGAGAACCTCCCCATGCTTGGAGTTGTTTAATCCTCCCAATGTCTTGAGCCTGCAATCCACTTGGCCGTTCATTTTCTTTCTTCCAGCAGTAGCCGCTTTGCTCTCATTGATCAGCAGTGGTGGCTGGGATTGCGGCTGGGGGACAGCATGCTCTAGGAGGAAGCAAGGTTATTAATGACAAGATGCTTCTTGTCTAAGAGCCTTCTCTTTCGTCCAGCTCAGCAATCTTGCCTCAGCAGCCCATAATTTGCTCCTTTGGCTTCCAATTTTCAGCAATTATTCAGTCTGGTCCTTTCCTAACAATAACATGAAAATGAGCTAAGTAATTTGCATCAATGTTAGGAAATACCCCCAATTGTTCATCAAATATAAAGTTAAGTGTGATGCTTTTATGTAACAATTTAACCGTTATCAATTGCCTCCGCCATGTTCGCAGCAATCTTGTGTCGCGACATAATAGCAGAAAAGTGAAGCGGTTATGTTGGAAGATGGGCACGGCGCTTTCAAGAGTGAAATACAACCGTATGAGAGCAGAGCTTATTGAATTCAAACCTGCTGCATGGGAGTATCTTCGAGGGATTCGAGGGAGTAACTGGGCTCGATTGAAAGCCGGTCGTCGTCGTTGGGGCATAGCGACAACCAATTAGAGCCTTGATCGATGCAACCTTTTGCAAAACTGTGAAATTCTACAGAGACGAACAATTGTGTGCGAGAAATTACATGACACCGATCCCTTCTGAGTTATGGAAAAAATACAAGAAAATAAATGACAAAGAAGCCAGTTTTGATGCCTCCCCTTTTGATGGTGATGATGCTAGGTGGCGGGTTGTTACTGCTACACGGCTAAGTGGCAGGGGTGGGTCTTTACATATGGTGAACTACGATGAATATAGGTGTTCATGCAGGAAGTGGCAAGAGTACCGGATGCCTTGTACGCATGCACAAACCGTTTGCCGGAAAAAAGAGGATCGACCTATTGATCTATACCATAGTGTGTGGCGCTTTCTCGCATGGCGCAGACAATTTGATTACACGGATTTTATTCCGGCTCCCGATGAGTAACAATGGCCGACGGTCAATTGGAATATCATTCTGAATTATGAACGTCTTGTTTTGAATGCAGGACCGGGACGAAAACAAAAAAAGAGACATAGAATGCAAATTGATTATAGGGAAGGCCGGAGCCGGGGGGAATGTTGGAGATGCGGACAACAAGGTCACGATGCCAATTCTTGTCCTTACTCGCACCCAGGAGTAGATAGAAGACCTGTGATTGACAGCTGGAATTGAAAGACATTTATTGTTCTTGTTATTTGGAATGACCATGTTATTTGGAATCACAACTGTTTATTTAGATGTCATATAACTTTTTGTATTGATAAATTTGGATTGTAATGTTAACATTAAATTGTTCGGATTGTAATATTAATATTGAATTGTTAGTGCTGTGATTGTGATGATAATAGATACTAGTTGTTGATAACAGGTTTTGAAATTGTGCAAAATAAAATTGGACATCTTGTGTTTTTGTATAGGGCTCGGATTTCCGCAATCCGAATGTAGGCATTTTGTACTGGGCTCGAATTTCCGAAATCCGAACTATGCTCGATTTCCTGCACCAAATTATTCGGATTTCATAAATCCGAGTTATCCCGATTTGTACTACATCTGGATTTTGAAATTCCGATGTCAGAAATTCCATCTGGGAGTGTGCAATTTTTGGAGAAGCAGGGGAGATTCGGATTTCATAAATCCGAGTTATCCTGATTTGTACTACATCCGGATTTCGAAATTCCGATGTCAGAAATTCCATCCAAGAGTGTGCAATTTTGGGAGAAGTAGGAGAGATTCGGATTTCCGTGTTCCGTATCCGTATATCCAGATTGCGCAAATTCGAGTGTGACGGGGACTATAAATGGCCGGTCAACTCTTCCCCAATTGATTTTCTCCCCTCCCCAAACTGAAAAACCCTAATTAACTCCCGTCCGGCGACCAACTTCGCCCATCCACCACTCCTCCCCGTCCGGCGACTCAGTCCAGGACCCAAATCGACAAACCCTCCATCCGGCGACTCAAGTTCCTCAGTCCGGCGGCCAAATTCCTCCGTCTGGCTCCCCGTCGAAGTTCACTCAAGTCCAGCGACAACCTTCGTCATTCCACCGCCAGTCTCCGTCCGGCGACTCAATCCACCACCCACATTCAGCTCCCCTCTGTCCGACGACTCCTCCCCGTCCGTCAGCAGCTCCAGCAATCGACTCCCCTCGCTTCGGAGACTGTGTCACCACTGCCGCTTCTCCTCTCACTGCCGGTGAAAGACTCACTGTCACCATCCCATTGCTGCCCTCCTCTGTCCCATTGCTGTCACCGTCCCACTGCCGCCCTGAGCTTTGTGTCACTGTCGGCGCCTGGTAAGTTTTTTCCTTCCTCTTTTTCATTTTAATTGATGTTTTTATTGGTGGAATTGTGAAATTCGAATGTATTATAATTGTTTTTTGGGGTTGTTCTTAGTTGTTGTTGCTGTGAATGAATTTGTGAATCCAAACTTACAGTAGAGGATTTGTCATATCCGAATGTAGTATAATTGTTTCTTGCGGCTGTTCTTAAGTGTGTTATCAGAATTTTTATTTTTATTTTTTTTCCGGAATGAGGATTTGTGTAATCCAAATGTGTATATATAGTCTGCACAGAATTGTAGTATTGTTTAGGTTTATGGTTTATAATTATTGTGAATATATATGTGAATTGGGAATTATAGTATTTGTGCATAGTATTGAATGTGCAAATGTTTCTTTGGTTGCCGAATGTAGGATTGCAATGGCTAGCTCATCTAGCTCGAAATATAACCCCAAACATCTTCAACCGGGGCCGGTACAAGCAAAAGTAATCTACCTTCAAAAAAACCATAGGTCACAAGCTGTCTTTGAGAACAAGATCCACAACATTAAAACATTCCGCCTCAAGGGCCATAGATACGATAGCTCATTTTGAGAGCTATACAATGATCATACGGCACCGGAGGTTAAAGAAATTATTAAGAGAGCCGGTTTTGAGGGGATAATAAAAGTAGGCTACAAAAGAGTGGATCTCGATCTCATTACCGGGTTGGTGGAATGGTGGAGGCCAGAAACCCACACTTTCCATTTCAATTTCGGAGAGGCGACTGTGACACTATAGGATGTCGAGGTCCTCTTTGGTATGCGGGTGGATGGTGAGCCGGTGTACAGGACGACAGTTAGCTGGGGTGCAGAGGAATGGCGGGTGAGATGTGAGACTTATTTGGGATTTCGGCCAGCCGTAGTAAATGGCCAATTTGTCAAGATTGGTGTTTTTGAGGATGAGATGAAACGTGCACTCCCTGAGGATTTCCCAGTCGAGCGACTCGAGCAAAGGGCCCGGAGAATAATCCTGCATTTTATGAACAGTTTCATGTTTCTTACCAAGACTCAAAACACTGTCAATCTGCAGTTGTTGGCCCGGGTTGAGGATTTGGAGCAGTGTAGTCGATACAGTTGGGGATCGGCCCTACTGGCTTGTTTGTACTCTGGCCTGTGCGAGGCAACCCAGTACACTATGCACGACATCACTGACTGTGTATATTTGCTACATGTATGTATTAGTTTTCATTAGGTGTTATAATTGTTTTTGTTTTCGACATTATAATTTGAAGTGTTAACATTATTATTGAAATTTACTAGGTATGGGCGTATGAGCGGATCGAGAGAATCACGCCACATAGAGTAGCACTAGATTATATACTGGATGAGACCACTCCATTAACTCAGCGGTGCGTATTTTCATTTCAAAATAACTCAATATTTATTTCTATTTGTTTCTTATTCAATTTTTTTACTAATTAAAATGTAACCCCTTCATGTTTGTTCATTAAGTTGGGAATGTTCGTACACCTATGGAGACGTCCCAAGGAGCAGCTTGGCACCTTTTAGAGATCAATTAACAAGCCCGCGTCTTGGAGATGTACGTACCTAATTTGGTATTTTTAGTTATTTTGAATTTTTTTCTTCCGGTTATACAATTTAAATAAATTCATTTCGTGCAGTTTCTGTGGCAACTATATGCAAGCGTCCTGCCTAAACTCCCTGATTTCTGTAAACAAGGCCAAGCCATTTGGACGACTAGATGTTGGATGTTCTTGGGCTATTAGGGAACCCCACGAGTCGCTCAAGGTTGTGAGACAATTGGGATACATATAGGGTGTTCCCCGTGACCCTATGATCAAAGATCGCGCAACATTTCTTCTTGATCACGTCCACAGTATGTCTGGCCTACTTATCAATAATTGGGTGGATCACCATTCCGCAGTACGTCCTCACTGGAGAAAGAGAGAAAAGTACGTTCCAAAAGATTTGGAGGTTGGATTCCCTGGCCAAACATATGAGGGGTACTATGAATGGTTCATGATGAATACAGTCAAACTTATATCTAATCCCAAAAATTATGAAGCTAAATGATATGAGACTTCTTTGAGCAGAGTGAAATTATATGTGATTTCATTTTATAGTTTTGGTTTTTTATTTCTTATATTTTCCTTTTATTTTTTTTATCCTTTTATGATTTTTGTATTTTGCTCTTTTAATTAACGTTCCAATTTCTTTTCAAAGTGAAGTATTGAACAACATTCGCGTGAGTTCCGAGCAGTGTAGAGATGATAGAGATAAGAAGAATCTCCTAGACAATGAACTCGAGGAGCATTTGAATGAAATCATTGATCAAATACTTGCTGCTTTAACCCTAGGTCCAAATGATGAGATTGACATGGATGATACCCAAATCTTAGTTGATGACGAACCATCTCTGCCCTCACAACCTGCGTTGGGTAGAAAAGCGAAACTGTGGCCAAGAGAGAAGATTGGAGGAGGAAGAAAGCGAAAAATAGTGATTCCCCCTCGATCATCGCAAGAACAAAATGAGGGTGACGGTTCAGGTAATCAACAACGAGAGCACGAGGCGGCTTCTTCTAGAGGCTCGCACATCTAGGTCGATACTCAATGTGAAGATATTGGTGGACCTGAGCCTCAATTTGAAGACATTGGTGGAGACTCGCAACCACAGTCAGGAGTTCTATTTCTCACCATGGGAGAGTCTCAATCCCAACCCCAACCCCAACCGCATCAACATCAGGGTTCAATACTCACGTATCTTTGGTGGGAAGACAGGAATCGCCAGGCGCCAAATAAATACACTCCGAGTGCGCCTAGGAAAGAAAAAGGAAAGAATTGAGCCCGTTGATGTTTTTTTTTTACATTGAAAGTAGTTTTAGGATTGATTTTGGATTCAAACTTGTTATGTTTCATTGTTAATCGAATGAAGTTTATTATTTTGTTTCCATTAGATTTTTGTTATTCTATGTTTTATTGTTGTTGGTGCTGTAAACAGGTTTTGGACTGGTTAAAACTAATCCAATTTTTTTTTCAGTTCTGACAAAGATCCGGATTTCATAAATCCAAAGTCCTGCATTTTGTAAAGGGCTCGGATTTTTCAAATCTGACTCAATGCCTATCTGGGAGTTTCAGTTTCTTAGAGAAACAGACGAGATCCGGATTACCTAAATCTGAATTTATACAACTTCAAATTTTCTTCATCCGTCTTTAACCAAAGAGGAGATCCGAATTTACAGAATCCGTTCTAACCCTTATTCGGATTCCCATAATCCGAGTTTAGACAAAAAAATATTTTCGAACACTTATCATTTTTTATCTCACTAGAAATTAATATTTTATTAGTGAATTCGGATTTGGGAAGTCCGTATTTTTATTAATTACACTAAATCCTTTCATTAACTTAATATCTAATTAACATTACACAAACCCGGATTTCAGTAATCTGAATTCACAAGGATTCGGACAGTAATCCAACTATTACCTTGATTCGGATTTCTGAAATCCATGACATATAGTTTTGTCCACATAATTTCTGGTAAGTTTTTTCTTGTCCAGGTCCTTAATGTGTAAATATATTTAAAGAAAAAACTCCTACTTATATCCTAGCATAATTTTAAAATTACAAATCAACCCTTACATTTTTTTTTTCTACTATCTAGTCTAGAGGGCGTGACAAACCCTCCCCGTAAAACAAGTCTTGTCCCCAAGACTTCTAGATAATTAAGAAACATAAAATAAAACAAAATTATGCAATTAGGGAATCTTAAATAAACATATGATGATTTGTCCCAAATTCAAACAAGAAGAGTGTGCCTTCTTTGAAAATTGTCACAATTTTGTCCCATGACTTAGAACTATGCTGAAGCTTGAAGTTCGGCATAGTACCTCCTTTGAAAGAAGTTACCAATACAATCCAGGACTTGGAGTGCAAATTGCTGAAATGTTTGTCTTTCAGCAGCAAGTTCCATTTTGAACAAGTTTGGGCAACCACGAATGCTGCATGAGGTAGAGCAAACCGTCTGTCAAAACACCTGCTGGGATGGTCAAGGTCAGTAGCCTTTATTGCGGCAATGATACAGTATTTTCAGCTTTGCAATAGCTCAAATCGGTTCGTATCCATTCTATGATTAGTTCCCAAGGTATAAAAGAAAGTTTAGCAACTAGAGTCCTGAGTTGGTGTTCATGGTTTGTGCCCTTACATGACATTCCAGCATACCTCCCTTCAGTAATTATTCCCGGATCCCAATGCAGGCTGCCATAGTGAGTCAGAATTTCAGCCAAAAAGAAAATTGTAAGCAGACAAATGATTCGGGTGATGTAACCATTTCATACTAAGGTTGGTAGTTGCTTCATTGCGAAATAGAAACTCAAATAACTCCAACCCAACTTTTGAGTGCCGAAGATCCCCATAACGAATACCATCAAAATAGCCTTCTTCAATCGCTCTATATGACCAAATGTTTTCAGCACCTCTAATAGATTCAACCAATTCATGTAGATGGGATACAACATTAATAACCAATCATGCTATTTTCCAACCAAAACTCATAGGATATGCACAATATCTTTCGACTTCACCATATGTAACCGTCAAATATAGTCCACTCATGACATCAGTAAGAGTATCGTCGATAAGCAACATCATAGTATCATTGCACACAATATTTTCATCATTTACAGCAGCCGTCAAAGACAAATAATCATTTTCAGGCCAATATTCATGCTCACATGTTCCTAAGGTTTTAACACTTTCAAAGTGAAAAATTTTACCTCTAGCCTGCAATTCACCTTTTGAGCACATTTCACTGGGACCTTTGGACTACATCTTTTGGTCCCCAGGGTCCATAACAAACTTGACAGCTACACTTTAAGCAAAGATGTGGAGTTTTGGTTCAAAAGTAGAACCATCATTGCACCTTCTCTTCGTAATCTCAATAGAACAAGCTGCTTCATCACAAACACGGGCGCTGCCTTCATTCTGAACCATTCTTGTCCCCACAGTGATCACTCCTTCAAAACAAGCAGCCCTCTTAACCCAATCTTTCAGTTTCAGAAGTTCGGTTCCACCTTTGAAACTAGTTGCTTCACAAAGCCAAAATCCTCCCATGTTACTCAAAATGGCAAGAAGACTTAAGTTCACAGAACAACTCGCAAACTCAGCAAAATCAGAAATTTTCATTGAATATCCAACACTCTGAGTTCCAATGCCAAGAGATCATATCAGGAACAAGTTCCTTTTCCCAACCCATTCTCACCTTAATGAACTGCTCTAATAGTATCAGGTCAAGATCAAATAGTTCGGCTTTTAGGATATCATATTTCGTTGCAGCCAAAACATAGGAGGTTCCCACTTTCTCAAGCTTTCCAGAATAAGCCAAATTTCCAAACAGATGATCATATTGAAACCATAAAAGGTCCCTAAAAATTTCCAGTTCACTAAAATATTGATGTCCTACAATGATTACCATGCTTTGACTCATATCACTCTCGTTTTCCAGAATAAACCAGTAAGTTGAAATTTCTTTATGCATCAAACCAATCATAACTGCACTATTCCAACTTTTAGCTACATATTTTGGTTCTATTTCAGACTCCCTCAAAATGAGTTCAGTCAAGCTCCAACATTATGCAAACTTGGAATCCTTTTCAAAAATTATAAGACACACCCAAATGGATTTAAACATGTAGCTATTCCTCTTGGTTCAGACATCAACAATGCACCGTTGTTCCAAACAGGCACAAATTCAACATCGATACCATTCCTTGCTACTTGAGACAGATTGAAATACTCCGAATCATCATCACCATTAACTTCAATCAGGCAATTACGATCATTGGCAAAATCAACAATTTTCATAAGATTCACAAGGCTGGTTACATTCCGCTCATCACTTAACATCAAATTAAATTCAATAAACATGGTTTGTCTGCATTCCTTATTAACAATATAGAAATGCAGTAACCCACCTGGATCAACAAGAAACGACCCTTTAATACTTACTGGATTTCCAACACTAGAAAACACATCAAATCCACCATATTCAACAGCAGCTTCTCCCGGATCAATGACAAAACTACTTAAATGGTTTCTTTTCGTAACACAACATTGCAGTTCAGAAACATTCTTGAAGGAATCAAACACATTGTTTGAAAACAATTTAATGGCAATCATAACACAGTCACGTATGTATTCCCATTCAACCCTAGCATCAACAATATCAATCATTAAAGTTTCGTCATTAATTTTAGCTACAACTTCATTTGTAGAAGTCCTAACAGCAGTGAAGCACCTGTTAATTGCAGGACTACCAATAACTAAGTCACAAGCTACTGATTTACCAGGATCAATAGCAAATTTTGAACCCTAGTTAATTATGCAAGCATCACTTTCATTTCCCCCCACATTTTTAATAATCTCATTATTTACTTCACTGAGGTTCTCATTAACACCCTTAGAAGAAGCACCTAGAATGCCCGAACGCACAATTTCATCAACAATTTCATCATCATTAGCCTTTACTATCACAGTAGCGTTATCCAAAACAACAGAATCACAGTTCAATCTTAAATCAGTAGTTCCTCCTTTAAAAGCACGTATCATTTATTCAAACTCTCCAGCATTCGGTTGATTAACACCATGATTTACACAGTTGATACGCGATTCATTGCTGTCTTTAAAATGACTAAACACATCAACAGGCTCTTCAACAAAAGTCAGCATATCAAATGCAACCAAGACAGTATCAACTGAAGGTATCATACCAACTTGTTCTTCAAGAACCTTCCTATTATCACTTGTTACTTCGACGGAGATGTCAGCCGGTGAATCAATATCATGTTCGTCTTCCTCAGATGTTGCCGTCTCGGCTTCCAACACCATATCACCATCAACTTCTTCAATCGTCGTAACCCACGCCCTGTCTTTCTCTGATTCATAATTGTTGGCCTCCCAAACATGGACCACCACTGCCGGTTGAACGATTTTACGAAATCAACAATCTAGCTGATCCAAAAAATCCTCCCAATTATCTAATAATGATGCGTATTCCATACTGTACAGAAATTGGAGAGGCTTGCCGGCCATATAGAAAGAGGCGGTAACTAATTTTTTATGAGAGGGGATTCGATTATAGAAGAAGAATTGTTCGATTTTGTCAAGCCACTCGACGACGTCTTCACCGGAAAAAAAGAAAAACTCTGGTTGGCGAAGGCTCTAGAAGACCATGAGTAGACGGATTTAAAGGGACAACTTTGGATGGATGAAGCGACAAAAGGATTTTAACCTTAAGTCGGTGTTTACTGTAATCAACCATTTCTATCAATGAAAAAGGAAACAAAAGTCAAGAGATGTTTGGTGCGATTAGAGAAATGGAGAAGTCGCACAAGGTTCAAAATCGAAGAAGAAGGAGAATTAGATTTTAGATGTCAGAGGGTTCGAACAGAAGGGGGAGAATAAGACAAACGGAATCAACAAATCGATATAGAGACGGCCGAGGAAGGACCGCTCTGATACCAATTGCCACAACCCGGAGGCCGGAGGGCGGCCGTAATTACAGAAAATGAGAAATTGAAGGTGGCAGGGGGAATTAGGGTTCTGATTTGGGGGAAGAACGAAGAAGAGAAGAGGAAATTGGAAAATTCCAATTTGATATTAATATTTCTTATAATCTAATTACAGTCCCTAGTCACTATTTATACCCAGGCATAATTTTAAAATTACAAATCAGCCCCTATATTTTCTATTTTCTACTATCTAGCCCAGGGGGCGTGACGCAACCACATGAGAATTTGGTTTCAGCGGACTCTGTTACATTTGGGCCAACTTCTGCGCCTTTTGGTGCTACATAATTAAGTTCAAATACTAGCCATAAAACGAAGTCACAACACGGGCTTAAACGACGAGTAGTCAAGAAAGCCATGGAAAGGAGGCTACTAGCTTCTACCAAGAAGCTCATCATGCACAGTTTTCGTGCGGTACCAGGCTGAAGTTTTGTTCATGCACTCATAAAAAAATGCCCATTCGGACAAATTTGGAACAATACTATGCCAGCTGGAGACTTCAATCCAACTTCTTGTGAGCCTGCTAATAACACTAAAATTAGACCCCTTTTCGGAGGCATTTTCTACTCAGTTTTACTAAGAATTAGGAGTCAATTAGTTAGAATTAGTTTATTTTTTGGTCAATTTTGTATTTCAGGGTAATCAGAGGGTCAATGTGGAAAATTAGCATAAATTGGGCCAGATTGCACAAAAGAGCATCAAAATGGACCAGATTTGAAAGCTACTGAAAATGAAGGGCTGGAAGGAGCAATTGAAACTGAACCAGAAGAGGAATCCCTACTGATGAAGTAAAGATGGCTGCAACTTAATCACAAGTTGCTAAATTATGTAGTAGGAATCCAAGAGAGGAAGAAGGAGCTGCAGTCTCTCAGTTACTACTGATGATGCTGCTAAGATTTTGTTGTTGCTGCTGTTGCTGTCAATCCGGGAAAGCCAAGGCCGAAATCTTGCTGTTGAAGGAAGGATGAAGCACTACCATCATTGCAAGTTGTTGTCTGCCTCAATCAGAAGAAGAGAAAGAGGGAAAATATGAAGAGAGAGGTGGTTGCAACTCTGCTACTTGCCACTTGCTGCTGCTGCTACTGATTGAAGTGAAGGAATAGCTGCTGCAGGAGGAGAGAAATGGTGCTGCAGCTGATCCCAGGAGACAAGGAAGAATACAGCTGTAGATTTAGGCTTAATTGGGGGCTGAAAAGGAATAAACATAATGATGAAAGGAAGCATGCTGTTGAAGCTGCTGATTGCTACCTCTGCTAGAGCTACTGCTGAAGATTAAAGAATGAAGAAATGGAGATTTGTGACTGAAATTAGTAAAGAGGCGCTGGAGAAGAAGACTAAGAAAGGAAAGCAATAATGTGAGGAAGGTGGCTGGTGACGGCAGAAGTGAAGGAGCAACCAAAGAGAAGGCAGGCAAGTTGATGAATAAACAAACATTTCAGCTGCTGCAAGTTGCCACATCCTCTGTCTGCTACAGAGAAGAAGGCCAAGATCTCAACCAATCCAAGCCTCTCCAAAATCTGTATAAATAGTCAGCCAGTAGCAGTTAGGAAAAAAGCAGTTACAGAAGTTTGAATCAGATAAAAAACATGTAGTTAGTTAGTTAGTTGGAGAGGAACAGAGTAATAGCTGCAGCTAGAGTGCAGACTGTCACTTTGGCAAGTGACGAAGGACACTTCCCCAAGTGAGCAAACATAATCAGCCCTGCTACCACTCTCTTATTCTCTAACTCTTTTGGTCTTTACCATGTTTAATCTTTTGTACTCAGTTGCTCTCATGTTTAATTTAATAAACATGAGCAGCTAAACTCCATTAAGGGTCTAATCCCTACTATCTATATGTGAAGGTTTTGATTCAGTTTCTTATATGAAGCATTGTTCCTAGTTTAAGTGTTTAAATTAACCTTCTAGTTAAACTGGCCACTTAGTTATTTGTGCATGCATAGTTATGGAATCTTGAGAAGGTGGACATAGTTTTAGAAAGGCTTAAATTAGTCTATGACAAAGGAGACAGCTTTGACTGCAACCCTTTGGTTTCAATCATCAATGAGAATTAGTTGATTGGCATAGGTGATCAATGAGGCTTGACAATCTAATGGCTTAGAATAATGAATAATTATCACTAAGAGGCAGGTAATTTGGCTAATCTGAGGCTCTTTACTGGTAACGAATGGGAAGGTAAAGAATATAAATGCCTGATCAAACAATATTCATGTGCAACAAGAACTAAAATGAATCAAAACTGGATCATATAGATAGGAAGATGATGACCCTTCTGCTTTCTCACTCTGTCAAATGTCTGTTCTCACTCTCCCAAGTGACCATATGCTCAACTTATTTTCTTTTGCTTGCACATCAATCAGATTTTAAGTGGTTCACTGCCGTTTCTGTGGATTGAACCTACTTACCGCTAGCTACTAGTTTTAAGTAGGTATATGTTTCTTTTGGAGGTGTCAACAACCGTCTACCACCTGCCTATAAGAGATTAAGGTCTGAAAAAGATTGGGCAGTGGATGATCAGGAATTCCCAAAACAACCACCGCAACAGCTATGAGATTACTTGCGTGGAATTGTAGGAAAAAAATAGGCCAGAGACCTTGTTTCTTATGGAAATGAAAGCAGAGGAGAAGCAAGTTACTAAATGGGAGAAATCTTCCTACTTCCATTACGAGGTTCTCATCGGTACAAGAGGTACGATAAATTTGGCTGTGTTTTAGGTAGATAGTGTAAATATTGTTGTTAAATCTGTGTGCACTAATTTTGTTGTTTTAGAAATAGTAGAAAATGGTAGTAGTTGGTTTTTGGTCTTATTTTATGGTAGTCCATATCGAAAGAGAGAGAGGATGTGTGGATGAATCTTCTGAATGTGATGCCTTTTGCCCTGCATCCGACTGTTGTTGTGGGGGATTTTAACCGAATTCTCAAGGCTGAAGATAAGATGAGGGAAACCCAATTGATCATAGACAAGCTAAAAAGCTTAAGGAACTGCTACATAAGGTGAATTTATAAGAACTTCCTGAAACCAGTCCATTGTTCACGTAGTGTAATAATCGTCAACAGAATGGAAGGATATATGAGAGACTTGATCATGCTATGGCCAACGAGAATTGGTTACTGAAATTTCCAGATGCTAATTTGGTAAATTATCCTATAATGGTCTCTGACCATGGTCCAATTTTGCTTCACACGTCAAAGGTCATTCCTCCCAGTCAACAAGTTCTTCGTTTTGAGTCATTTTGGGCTAAACTCCCAGCTTGCAAGCACATTGTTCAAAGGGTATGGGAAAATGATGGTGTGGATGATGGGAACTTGCATCCTTCTGTGAGTGCAAAACTTCAGTGGTGTTTAAAACATTTGAAGAACTGGTATGATCATTCATATGGCAACTACCAAAACAAATAAACAAACTGATGAATCAACTGCAGAGAGTACAGAGTAGTGCCTTGGCTTCTAGAGACCTACAATTGGAAGATCATTCGTGATTTAAATTATCTGAGCCATTAGAGCAAGAGAATGAGTATTGGCAACAGCACGCTAAGATAGTGTGGACTTTACAAGGCGAGAGGAATACAAAGTTCTACCATAGATGGGCTTCAATCAAGAAAGGTATCAATCATATCGGGAGCATTTAGAAAGGCAATGGAGAATGGGCTGTTGAACCTGGAGAAAC